CTTGCTACCCTTGCTGACGGCCCCCGAGATGTCGTTGATGTCCTTGATCATCTTGGTCAGATCCCGGCCCATCTCGTCCAGACGCTCCGTGATCTTTTCGGCCAACTTGTATGTTCGCTCGCGCTCTTGATCAGGACCGACGAGCTGCTCGCCGGGACCGATTTGCTTAGAGAACAGAGCGTCCACTTCGACCTCGTACTTGTCCAGCCAAGACTCTAACTCTTCCTGCTGGCTCTCCACGGTAACGAGGTGCCGCTCGACTTCGCGGCTGGCCTTCTCCGCCTCGAACGTGTTGAGATATAACTTTTGGATCTTGTCGCCATTCTCAACCAGTAATCGATCCCAGGCTGCGACCTGAGAGGCCTGCTCCTTGAATTCCTTCTGGTATTTGGACAGATCCGTCGCCCAGCGGTTCAGGATCTCGTCCATGGTCTTATTCTTCAGGCGCGCCATGGAGGATGTCGGGCCACTCGTCGATGCACCCACGGCACTGTTGCCTCCGCTAGCTGCGTTTCCAAGGGGGAAGGCAGGAGTGCTCTTCGCAGGAGTGCTTTTCGCTTGTTCACCGAAAAGCCCGCCTGATGCCGTTGGCGTCGTTGACGATCCACCTTTTGGTTGTTGGCCGGTAAGTCCACCTGATGTCGCAGGCGCTGTCGATGACCCAAACAAACCACCTGCTGACGTCGCAGGCGTTGTCGACGATGGCTTTGACGATTCACTGCTTGACACTGCGGGCGTTGTTGACGATCCGAACAACCCCCCACCGCTTGATGTCGCGGGTATTGTCGACGACCCAGCTGCAGGCGTCGCTGACGACTTGAACAGACCACCACCTATTGTCGCGGGTGTCGTTGACGATTTTGGCAGCTCACTGCCTGATGCGGCGGGCGTTGTTGATGACCCAAACAACCCACCACCTAATGTTGCAGGCGTTGTCGAACTTGTTGGTTGGGTTGTCGCAGGTTTCGGCTGTAAGCTGCTAGCCTGGTTGCCAAACAAGCTGAGAGGTTGATTTTCCTTTGTCTTGGTCTGCTGGGCAGAGGGGAACAGGGATGAACTGCTCTGGGTGGTAGCATTGGTGCTGCTCGCTAAACTAGTCGGCTGGGCTGTCGCAGAGCTGGGACCCTTTGTCTCACCCTGCTGAGCAGAGGGGAACAAGGATGAGCCGCTCGGGGTGGTGGTAGTGCTGGGTTTATTAGCAAAAAGCCCCAAGCCACCAGATGGCTTAGAAGTGTTGTTTGCCGGAGGTGCACCCGCCGGTGTTGTAGAATTGAGAGCGAACAAGGGTTTTGCGGGTGTTGCCTGAAAGAGACTGCCACCAGTCCCTCCACCCACGGCTGGTGTAGTTGAGCTAGAGGCGGTACCGCTGCTTGTGGCACCGAAGAGCGACTTCTGCTCGCCTGGTTTCGCTGGGGTTCCAAATAAACTGCTGCCTGAGGTGCCTGAAGAAGCAGCCGCAGCAGCACTGTTGCCTCCGCTGGCTGCGTTTCCAAAGGAGAAAGAGGGAGTGCTGCTCTTAGATTGCTCCCCGAAAAGCCCGCCCGTCGTCGCGGGCGTTGTCGACGGCTTTGCTGCTGGCGTTAATGACGACCCAAACAACCCACCGGCTGATGTCGTCGCGGGCGTTGTCGACGATCCAAACAATCCACCGGCTGATGTTGTCGTAGGTGTTTTCGACCCAAACAACCCGCCGCCGGCTGACGCACTCGAGGTAGTCGCATTATTACTGCTGGCCCCAGAAGAGCTCGGGTTGCCGAAGAGGGACATTGTGTGATTCTTGCCGTCGTGGGAGTACCGTCGGCTCGGACTCGGGAGGCAGGAACGCTGGCGAATGTGGAATGGGATAGTTCAATCAGCGGGCCACTCGTCCACATGCCCCAAGTCGCTAATCCACGAGGATTGGCTTAGGTCGTCGTCGGTCTTGCTTGCTGCGTAGATAGAGACACCGAAAAGGAACAAGGACGTTTTGCGGTGGTGAGTGACGGTGCGATGAGGGCTTCTTGGTTGGCCCAGAATCTAAGAAAAATATCTACTGCTGCAACAGCCAAACGTTTCGCGACAAGCTTATTAGCTACCTAGCTGGGGACGATACGCGCCGAGTACCAGCTCGCCAGTTCTATGGAAGGCCAAAGGGAGCCAGGTGGCAGACAACTGGTGCAGAGCCCGGAGCTTGAGCCACAGGCTGCAACTCACTCACCCAAGCCACACCATGCCCAGGTGGTTTTACATAAGTCTTAGGTATGTCCATTGCAAGCCCAAGCGGTCTAGACTGCCGCTTGTGTTTTAGGGTAGCAGATAATCGATCGATCCCATCAAGTGAACAAACCAACTAAGAGGCAGTTATACGGTCCGTACCTCTCCTCTGATGGTCGTCTGAGTGTGCTGCAGCTTCATCATCCGACAAAGGTTCGATGTCTCCGATCCTCCAACTACAGTCCCGATCCTTGAGCCATCCACCCGCAACCTCAACAGAGCAGATGATTTACCAACCGGGGTTCTATTGATTTAGCCTTCTCTGTGCACACAACCACCAGCCAAAGGCTTCGACCAACCAACCTCAGCCCCTGATAACTCTCTCTCTCTCTCTCTCTCTCTCTCTCTCTCTCTCTCTCTCTCGTCTCTCTAGAAGCCACGCCATCTACCTTGTATCGATTGGCTGCTGCTTCTACTCGACACTGCATTTGCTCCCTACTGCTAGCCGAGCAGCCATCCTACTTACCCCTCAACTTTCGTGCGGCGGCACCCTCGAGCCTCTGTCTCGAACCCAACAGCCTTCTGCATCCCGAGCACTGGTCGATTCTTCCTCGCCAGTTTGCCGCGTCGGGTCTAGTATTTCCTACGCTACGAACCCCCGACATGTCTAGAGAGCGTAGGTCCTCTTCCAGTCTCGAGGCGCCCGAGAGGACAGGGACTGAGGATCCTGGTGCGCGCGAGTTGGGTGAGTTCACACATATGTCCCTGCCCGATACCTTCCTTCCACGGCGCTCGAGATCTGACTTGTGCTGCTGCAGAGGCCTCTGATTCGGATGAGCACTATTCCGATGCCCAGTCGTCTCCTGGGAAGAGCGCGAGGGCTATTTCCCCCATCCCCAGGACTCGGGTCGAGAAAGTAGACGACGAGCCCTCGTATGGGGAAGTCCCGGGCACAGAGGCGTACAAGAAGAGGACGGAGGACGCCTCGCCAGATGAGATAGCCATTGTGCGGGACGAGCAGTCTCCGCCTACATCCAGGCAGGCCATCGCGCCGGGAAACATTACGATTCCCAAGACGGTGGTCGACGAGACGGACGATGTCCCCGGTTCTTCGACCCACGACTATCACGAACACCTGCATCAGGCAGACGCCACGCCAGACATCATTCGAAAGCCCGACGGCACCAGCGAGGCCAACCCTTTTGCTGCTCCACTAGACGTCAATACACAAGACACCGGTACGACAGCCAAGTCCTCTTGAAATCCACACTGCCATTGACCGTGCCTTCGTAGATGACACGGCTGTAAACCAAGCACTGAAGTCCCCGTCGACGACACACAGACGGAGGAAGTCTTCGGCAGCCAGATCAATCGCGAGCCTTCGCGATGAGGAGACGAATGACAATGATGACGATTTTGGCGACGACTTTGACGAGTTCGAAGAGGGCGATGAAGATGCGGATTTTGGCGATTTTGATGATGGCTTCCAGCAGGCCGAGGAACCTTCTTCCACTGCTCAACCGATGACAAGCCGGCCACAAGTCTCTATACCTTCCTTTGTGTGTTTAGTACCCTCCTTAGGTAGCCTTATCACAATTATGCTGACTACTGTGTGCTCGAAGCCAATATTAGATCTCGACGGGCTAGACTCTGAAGATATCTTGACCGCCTCTGAGCCTTACTTGGATGCATTGTATCCACCTGACGTGCTCGATATCCCTCCTCTTTCCTCACCTCCAAACGAGAATCCCATATTCTTCAACCCAAGGAGCGCATCGTTATGGTCACAACTAGCGGCGCCACCTCCTCTTCAGCCTCCCGACTGGATCCGTTCCCGCATCAGGAGACTCTTTTTAGTATCGCTAGGCGTCCCTGTAGACTTAGACGAGATCCTGCCTGCGTCCAAGCAGAAGAAACTAATTCTCCCGTCCCTGCACCGGGTCACGTCAAATGGCTCACTGCGTACATCTACGGACTCGCGGTCTGTGTCTCGACTACGAAAATCAGACACCAACGGATCGTCCGTCTCAGTGGACTCCCAGGGTAAGGAGAAACCCAGATCTCGCTCAAAAAAGCGAAAAGCCCCGCCTCAAGGCCCGGAATTCGATCTGGTCGCGGCGAAACAGCTGTGTGCCACGACGGAAGAGGCCATGAGAGGAATGACCGATATCGAACTTCAGCGGCACGTGAAGAAGCTGAAGGAGATGGAAGTCTTGGCAAACGAGGTGCACGAGTTCTGGAAGAAACGCACAGACGAGAAAATCGGCGACAGGGAAGCGTTTGAGGGTGTCATAGAAAACCTGGTGAAGCACGCGCGAAAAACGAGGAAATGATGAAGGATACCCCCTAACCAACTATAATCTAATGATAGTATAATGCCTAAATTTACATACGAAGGCCCCATTATTCAGCTATCCCTCTCCCGTTCCTCTCACATTCTTGGTGGTTTATATGTTGTTTAATCCATTGGTGTTTTATTTCTACGAACTGACGTGCGTATGACCACTAGTAAGTATCGGCCAAGATAGAGCTTGGTCAACAACACTCTTCAGAGTCCCCGAATTACTAAACATGATCCGCCGTGTGATGGGCCTATCTCACGGCCAGGCCGAATGTTATGTTTGAACATGGCAATGAAAAAAATGAAAAAAAAAGTTCCGGAATAAGAGGGGTGTCACGGAGAAGATTCTGCTCACGTGATCACCTATTGTAAATAGGAAGGATCCCCTAGAACACGGAAAAAAAAAAAGCTTTACTAAGCCCCTGTAAGCCTCCGTCACAAGTGGGAAATCCAAAAAGTATCAGATTGACCTCGCTGGGGGTCGAACCCAGAATCTCCTGATTGCAATGAAAATCCAACAGAATGCTGAATTTCTCGTAGTCAGACGCCTTGCCATTGGGCCACGAGGCCATTATGTAAAGTTACGTCAGATTTCAAGTTCTAAACCAGTTTCGCGGCCGACTCGTAATCGGTAGGTTCGTTTTCCTCAATTCCTGAGATAATTCAACAAACGCTTCTAATAGAACATAAGACTTGAGTATATAGTTATAGATGTTACCTCGACATGAATATTTAGGCATATATTCTGTTATTAGACATGAGAGTCAATTTAAACTGGTATTTGTTCATCTACTATCCAGAGTAGTCGTAGACGTTGCCCCTTTAATGACGTGGTGATAACCTTAGCACTGAAGGATCGAAGTAGGTACCGATTGAACATTTCCGTATGCATTCACTTTTTTGGTTGCAGAAACATGAAGGACATGTGCTACATAACTATTGATTATGCACCAATTGAGAATGCCTGATTCAAGTCTACGCGTCTTCGTTCATGTTGCATCTCGACTGTGTAATGTGACCTCTTGTATGACAAGTCACTAGGTAGTAGACTTCTGAGATCATAGTACAAGATGGGCTGGTTAGTCTAGGAGTGTCCGTTAGCCGAGTCTGAAAGTTCTAGATCTGGGAGATTTGCGCTACTAGCCCTAGAGTCTTTGTGTTGGGCTCGTAGATACTTGAATAATAGAAGACTTGCGAAACAAATGAGGGAGGTACTCATCGCTTCCACACTACCTGCCACGACCAATAGGTAATCTGACGCATCAGACATTCCGCTAGTGTTCGTTGAGGATGATATTTCTTGTAATTGATGGCTTACCGCGGCTCATTTCAATGTGCTAATCTGCTGGGGAGAAACTGAGAATTCTAGAAGCCTTGAAGTTGAGCGAGGACGATGTTTAAGAATAGAACACGAACGAGGGGTGTACTGGAAACATCAATGATAGGCGGCATTCTGTTCAGCTCGCCGGTTTGTCCCATGAATCAGAGATGACTGAGTATAGAAAACTGTGTGTGAAACTCCGAGATGGAGGGAGATAAGCAGAATATCGCGGGGGGAGGTCATCAATCGTCCTACGTCAAAGATGTTCGTAGAACGTTTCGTGTAAATGAAAGAAGCAAACCCGTTCGTCGATGCAGTCAGCAAAGAAGCTGATGATGATATCCTGGGCGATACCAAGTCATATCTATACCCTCCACGATAGTATCAGCAACGTGAGATAAGGCTGGAGTTTTTCGGGGACTACGAATGGACTCCTTATACCTACATGAAAATGCGCATAATTAGATATATTTCCAGCCTTAGGATGCTAATGAGGCTCCCTGGCCTGACGCTCATCGGTTACATCGCTTCGAGAGGCAAGAGACAAAGTCTTTGGTGATCACGTACAAAATTCCGGGAACTACCGCACGGTAGCCTTATACAGTTATTATAGTCTAACAACCACTAGTCGTCATCGTCTCACTGGCTGCTGAGTCTTGTGTGTTTAGTCTAAAATTAGCCTCGTGGTGTGTATGATCGCGAGTAGGTATGTGTGCATCGGTTGTCGAAGAGCTCGAGCCTTGGTGTGCGCACGCATTCCAGGCCTCCCAATATGGCTATAGCGGCGGGAAGATATGCAGGCAGATTTGGTCTGCTACTTACTTACTTATTTCGTATATTGGGGTGGTATCGTCCAAGATGCTGGTCGGGCGACATGCGGACGACAGCTAGAACGATCGGGCCGCATTGACTACGTCTTAGTGTACACTATCTTATATGAGGATAGCATCATCCCCTGTCGGTAGTATGCTCAATTCCGCGGCGCGATCAAACGAAACCTGAGAGTCGGCATCAATGCGACCAACTATCTAAGCTGTAGCACACCTCTTCAGACTTCATCGAAGACCTGGTCTAGTCCAGGAGACATACTTAAGTATAACAAAAAGCGTTGGCGACGACCTAGATGGTGCCTCTGTGCGGGATTTTGGATGCAAGAACGGAGATGAGAAAGGCTGGGACCTGCCATTGGTTTGTCTTTGAGCCTGGGTATTCCCAATAAGCTACTTTACCGCCCAGGCCAACAAAGCTGATCGATGCAGGTGGTTGGCGACATCACCTCTGGGGGCGGTCTGATTGGTCGATGCTCGTGCTCTTGCTTGCAGCACACGGGAGCCTTCCGCCTATGAGATGCGGAGATCGTCGACAAGGGTCTCCTAGTGTCCCTGCGAAGCGCTCTGCTCGCGCCGCCGGCTGCTCCCCTGCAAGCTATTTGTCCAATCACCGTCTTTTCTCCAACTCTCCGCTCGATGCCCAGAGGGCTGCCCCTGCTGCCATTCCCTGTCGCCCTCGAGCCATGCGACCCCATTCGAGCCAATGTCGGTCGTCGTCCGCAACCTCATCAGGAAAACCGCCCTATGGAATTGGCTGGGCTCGGTTCCAACGATGGGGGCGGTAACACGCAATTCGACGGTGAAGTACACCCAGAGATGGCGAATGTCACCTAAATCTGGCTGAGTACGATTCGTACAGGCCTGGTATCATTCTCGGCGTCGGGGTCCAAATGGCCATGCATGCTCTGTGATAGTTACTGTCCAGTCCCCTCTCGCTCACCAGATACGGTGTCTCTCTTACCTTTGCCCTCTCCGTTTTCTTGCGAATCCCCAGCCCGTTCCAGAATCTGTAGAGCTATGAAGCCGTAGAGGTTTGAATGTGCCGCCGATCTGAGCTACTGTGAAGCATCGTCCCGTCACCTACGGCGTCTAGCCTACGCCAGAACTCGCTCGTTCGAGATTGGAAATCTTTCTAACCGCCCTATCAGAAGCATCCATTGGGACAGACCACGAGAACCCTGACCCACCGTGAGCGATCCCATTGCATGCTGCACGTTCTGCTATCCCCACTGACCTGTCTCTGCGGAAGCTTTAGAGGATCGAATGAGCTCCCAGAACACCCGAGGGCGCTTATTCAAAACCTATACCTCCCTCGCCTGTCCGGCCTCGAGGACTTACTTCCTCGATAGCTGGTCTCCATATTCTTTTTCCTTCTTGTCAAGATTGCTTCATCCCTATTCTCGAACCACATATCATCAATAGACTTGGTTCCCGAAGCACTCCTTGCCATATAGTATTACATAGAATAGCCGACTCGCAGGGACGAGCGTCGTTCTTTTTTCCCCTAACAGTCTATTCACAACGCTACAATGGCGTCACAAGAGGAGAAGAAGCGCCCTGCCGCCCTCAACTTGACACCGTCACGGTCGTCGTCAACAGATGGATCATTTACCACCACATCCTCACTGAAGCCACCAAGGACTCCCCGCTTCGCAGAGGCGACTACAGTATATTCTCCCATAGAGCCACAGACGACCAACCCATTTGGTGGTCGGGACGAGAGATCACATGTCATACAAGCTCAGCCAGCCGATGTAGGCTTCGGATACATCAATGATGATACCAAGGTACAAACAGTCAATATGCCCATGACACCGAAATCGCCCTTAAAAAGTGCCATGAGAATTCCCGGCACCCCGGGAAGGAGATTCGAGAATCCTCTAAGCCCAACGTTCAGAGAAGAGGATATCCTCGAATCAAGAGAAAAGGACACCGAGGCGGCGCAAAAGAAGGATGTGGTGAGTGATGAGCACCGAAAAGTTGTAGCTATCTTGTCTTACTAAATCTCGTCGTAGGGTCTGAAGTACAGGGTCAGACTGGCCAAGTTCGCTTTGCGTGGTATCAGCTTCAGCTGCAGTTTGATCATCATTTCCCTACTTGCGGTTTCCTTCAACATCTTCCGCACGACAAATCATCTTGCGGCGCAGAGCGGCCTGCCGGCCTGGGCAGAAAACACGAAACTATGGCCTCAGGTCCTTGTCCTTTCGGTCTCGGGCGTGAATCTGCTCCTTTGCATTCTCATCTTCTTCGGCTATCTCAGAGGCGGCCATCACCGAGCGGAAAAAGTCGGCGTTTACTACACGCTGTTCGCGGTCGGCTGGTTTATTGCTTCGTCGGTCCTGTGGGCTGCCGCCGCCGGTATCTTGCAGTTCTCTCGCGACAACAGCAACAACAAGGACATGTGGGGATGGGCTTGCGTCGATAACAAGCGATCCGAGGTCTTCTCGCAGAAGATTGACTACGCTCTTGTCTGCCGACTTCAGGTGAGTTTACATTCTGCCTTATATAAGTCTACTAGAAATCTTGACTGCGATTGCTGACTATCCTTTCAACAACAGAACTGGTCTCTGATTTGCGCTCTGATTGAGATCGTCCTTGATGTCTTCACGATCACACTCTACAGCATCGTCTTCTACCGATACATCACGAAGCGCAAGCTGACCAAGTCGATGGACATGCGAGACCGTGCCCGCTCAGACTTGTACCTCGCCCAGCTACGCTCGCAATCGGCCCCCAACACCCCCGGCTTCGGCCCCAAGTCGCCCTCTTTCTCGCAATACGCAATGTCGCCACGATTCCCCCCGTCAACGTACAACTCTCTCTCCGAGGTTACCCAGGCACCGAGCTTCACTCCAGCGGCCCCAGTTGCCGAGCCGTCGTCTTCCTTCGCCAGCAAGGCCAGCCTGGCTTATACTCCCAAGCCCCCCGAGAACACCTTCAAGCTACAAGCGCCTCCTACCAAAGCTCGCTCGGCCACCCCAAAGGTTGCGCAAGGCGCTTTCCTCACCACCCCCACAAGCACGTCTCCTCCCGAGAATAGCTTCACCGCCGCGGCGCCCGGCGAACAGCAGTACGACGCTGTACCAATTCCTGGCGCCTACGCGGACGCTGTCATGAAGAGCCCGCCCCCGGCACAGACGAGTTTCAGATATTCATAGATGACTGGGACGCTGTGAAGTGAACGAGAGAGGACGACATGAGTGACGTAATGAAGAGAGATGAATTTATTTTGTACAGCTACGGCCTTGCATACGTGCTGTATGATGGGGAGGGGGTTTGTGGAGCGACTTGTGTTTTTTTTCTCGCGGTAATATACCCACGCGAGAGCCTATCTGTGCGAGACTTTGCGCGCGGCGTTTTGACGGAGTCATTTTTGGGATTAATCCATTGGGATGGGAAAGAGATACCACTGTGGCTTT